TTTTCTAGGTATCTTCCCAAACGAGTTAAGTCATCCTGTTATAGTGATACATACATACCCTTGTTTATACACTGATAGCATTATTCACAATAGTTAAATCTTGGAATCAGCCCATGTGTCTCTCAGCAGATGAATGGATAAAGAAAATATGGTAGTGGCCAGGGATTTAGCTCAGTGGTTCTGCTGCCTGTCTCACAAGTACAAGGATCGAGTTCAATCCCCACTACCAAAAAAAAAATAATAAAATAAAATAAAGAATGTGGTGGTAGTTATACACAATGGAATACTGCTTTGCTATAAAGGATAAATTTGAGCATTTGTAGGAAAATGGCTTGAAAACATAATTTTTTTCCAGAATGAATGGGTAGTCTGTTCATTGAATGCAGAGGAAACATTTACAAATTGAGTACACAAAATGAATAACTGCACATTCTCCATCCAGGGTTCATGGTATGAAGGTTTAGGAGGGCCTATCAAAGACCCAAAAGACTCCAGACTCCCTCTCTACTCTCAGAACCCCACAGATATTTGGGAGAGTGGGAGGAAATTCTGAGGCTGTGGGGCTTGGGCTTTCTTCTCTCTCCTACCCAGAAGGCAGTGAGAACAGAAGTCGGGTGTATAAGGCCCAGTCATCTTGACACAGAATGGTCTCTGGTTTAGTAAATACTGGAGGTGGCACATACAGAAGGAGAAAATTATGGCCCAAGGCTGCCCACTGGGAGGAGCTAAGTGGGGGATCAAATTCCCAGCTAGCAGATTCCTAGGTAAGGTCAGAGGCTTTGCCCTGTTCCCTTTTGACCCACTGAAACCAGCTGTGAAGGGGGGGACCTTTGAGCTTCAGCCTGGTGGTATTATTATTATTGGTGGTGGGGGGGGTACAATGACAGCCAATGAGACAGTTCTGGCTCAGGCCACTGGGAAAGCACTCCTGAGCCCCATCCGCCTCCTAGAAGGGCTCCCTTTAGCCTGGGGCCCAGACAGTAATGTTAGTGCTATGAAAAGGAGCCAACACAGGGTGGAAGGGGCAAGAGCAGCTCTCATAGGAAGGCCAATGCCCTAGGTACCCAGGGTCCAGAGGCAGGTCACACAGTGTGGCTGAGTTCCAGGGAGAGGTGTACAGAACCTGAGAAGGGGAACTGAGCATCCCAGGACCCTCCTGCAGTGTACCAGTTCCTTTATTTTCACTTCCTTTTGGAAGATTATGGGTTTGTAATGTGGACATCCATTGCTCACCTCTGGCTGTCTATTCCCAGGCTAGACACTAGATGGTACCTTCGTGAAGCTGCACAAGAGAGCGAGCGCAGAGGTCTCTGAAGGGAAAGAGCAATGGGTAGTACCAAAGGATTGCACTAGACAGTGGGATCCTAAGGCCTATGTCTTGGCCCAGGTGCCCCTGTTTCCCCAGGAAGCAGCAGTGGGGCTTTTTTCGCCCTTAGTTGAGAAGGAGGCATCTGGGAAATGAAATGGGCATCCAGGGTGGAGAAGGAGGCAATAGTGGGCTCTGCAAAGAAGAAATTGAGAGAAGCCGGGTGTGGTGGCGCACACCTGTAATCCCAGCACTCGGGAAGCTGAGACAGGAGGATCGCTGTGAGTTTGAGACCAGCCTGAGCTACACAGTGAGTTCCACAGCAGTCTGAACTATATAGTGAGACCCTGTCTCAAAAAAACAAAAAAGAAAAGAAAGAAGGAAACTGAGAGGGACTGGGAATTTAGCTCGGTGGTTCTGCCTGGTGCAAGGTGCCAAGCTCGATCTCTGGTACCAAAAAAAAAAAAAAAAAAAAAAAAAAAAAAAAAAAAAAGAAGAAGAAGAAGCTGAAGCTGAGTTGTGAGGAAGGGGTTGGAGTGATCCTGCCACCATCGTGGCTAAGGTCCATGCCACAATATGGCCATCTGGCAAGTGTTAGGGCCCAGGAGGGGTTCCTGGCAGCACTATGCAGGAAGAAAGATCTTGGCTAGGAGATAGGGACTGCTTAGATCTAACCAGGGGTCAAGGCCCCTGTGGCCTGCAATTCTAGCTAAGGCCAAACCTGGGCCTGCCACTGGAGCCTAATCTTAAGGAATAAGGTGGCCTGGAATTTGAGGAGCTGGGGAGAAAGGTTCTGTGGATGAAAGGGGAGTTCCGGAAGTAACTGGGGCATAGAATACCCTCCAGTTAAGTGAATCTCAGCCCCTTGGGCCACCTCCATTCCATCACACCAAATTCAGGCCCACTGTGGACAGGGTCTCCTGAGGGCACAGAGCAGGGGCTGAGGCCAGGCATTTTCTATTTAGTCCTGGCCATGAGGCCTATTTCTAAAGAGTATTGGGCCCAGATGACACGGTAGAGCATGGACCATGGTATGTCTGTGCCATGGCCGGGGGCTCAGCCATTATATTGCTGTGGATAGCGCAGGTAAGACTCCCACACACAATACGACTTGTTACAGCATGTACAGCACCTGGCGCATGTAGATTGGGTAGACCTGATGCTCCGGTAGTGTGAGGAGGTGTGCTTCAGGATGTTTTATGAGATGAATGGTGAAGATTCTTCATAGACAAAGAAACTGCTATGCTACCACCCACGGATGCCTCAAGGCCTATAGTACGGTTATTCGGATAGCAGCAGACAGTCAATGAAGTCCTTGATCAAATTGAACACATTAGGCCAGGGATCTCTCAAGTAACTACTCTCCTCTGAGGCTCTACTGGTACAGCCAGGTGCAATTGTCATCCTCAAAGGGCACGGTACCACTGAGCAAGATGTAGTCAGTGACACCCAGCACCCACATGTCCACAGAGTTGGTAGTGGACCGGTGGACCAGGACCTTAGGAGCAATGTACTCAGGTGTGCCATAGGTGATTTCGTCAGGCAGTCCTCACCCATCTTGTGGATACTGGGAGGCCAGAGTCAGTGATGATGATCTTGGAGTCAGCACCCTGGGTGGTAGAAGACCATGTTCTCAAGTTTGAGGTCACAGAGTGTGAAGCCTAGTGTGTGCAGATACTGGACACCATCCAGCACCATCTGAAGCATCCTTGTGGCATTGCACTCAGTGATGTAACCCTTAGCAGTGATGAGTTGAAGGATCTCACCTCTTGTGGCTAGGTCTGTCACCATACACACATGCTTCTGTTTCACACAGTTCAGTCTCACACCACCCTCTCTCAGTATTTGGTTTCAGTCATCTTGATGGCAGGTGACTGACAGGGTGCCTGGTATTCCACACATACTACTCAGCTAAAACTGCCTCGACCAATGAAGGAAGCCCTTGGTGTCATCTTTAGCTGTCACACATGGGTGGAAGTTGACTCTATGCTTAGCCACCCTGGCCTGGCATGGTGGTTCTAAAGAAAGCTCTGTAGCTGGTAAATGGGGCACTGTGTCCAGGAGGTACATAGTGAGTGGCAGCTGAAAACTCAGCCTTAAGTGGGCCAACATTGTCCACCTCTGATGAAATGCTTACACATATCACTTAGTGCCACTGAAGGGTTCCATCTTCTTGATAAGATTCAGCTGGACATCCTTGAACAGGTCAGGAAGGACCTTACTTGTCCCATGGCCTATCATGGACATGGGTATTCTGTCCTGTAAAGCTGGCAGTACTTGTTCTGTAGTCAGAGCCCCATTTATATCTTAAGTGGGAGATTGGCTGCTCAGCATCTCTGTGGCTCTGTAGATGTCTCCTGGCTACAGCCACAGATGCTGCTGTTGCCACTGCCATCTTCCAACATCAGCATTGTGGCAGGAACCATTATGTTAAATGAAATAAATCAGACATGCAGATTTGACACATTCCCTCAAAATTCCCACTGGCTTGAACCACTGGCAGTACATGTGTGATTGTCCCATGCTGCCTGACGGTCATGCATGTACTGCTCGCCAGGGGTTCAGCCTGGCAGAAAGACATACAAAATACGGCTCCAATTTGAACCTTATTTATATTTTTAGTTTTTTACACTAGAGAAACGATTCAGTATTTACACATGTGTGTCCTATTTGTTTCACTTAAGAGTATGTATGGCTCAATATGCATCCAATTAGCTATAAATGACTCTAGTTTGTCATTCTTTATGGCTGAGCAGTACTCCATTTTATAGAAAAACCACATCTTATTTATCCAGTCTCCAGTTGATGGGCAATTGGGCTGTTTCCAAGTTTAAGCTATTACAAACTGTGCCACTATAAACATAGGTGCTCATATATCACTGTGATATGAAGCTTCTAATTCTTTTGGAAAGATACCCAGCAGAGGGATGGCTGGGTAAAATGGAACCTCCAGTCCAAGCTCTTTGAGGTATCTCCGTATTGATTTCCATAGTGGTTGCACCAGTCTGCACTCCCACCAACAATGGAGAAGGGTTCCTTTCTCCCCACAACCCTGCCAACATTTGTTATTGGTTGATTTCTTGATAGCAGCCATTCTTTCTGGAGTGAGGTAGAATCTCCATGTTGTTTCAAACTGTATAATTGGTATTGTGAAATAGGAAGAAAAGGGCTAAAGGAGTAAGTGACGTGGGGAATGGTAGGGGAAAGGAAAGAAGGGAAAAGAAAATATGAGAAAATGAAAAACTGGAAACAAATTTTTTGTAAATAGGGAAGGGTGGAGAGGATGAAGGGAGGGCAGGGGAATGGGGAAAAATAAGAACCAAGATACTCCATTTAATGGTACAAGATCCCAATGATGAATGTAACTGTACTGTATACCTAAAAAGTACCAATGGAAAAAACAAAAAACAAATTACGGCCCCATCATGAACATGTTAAATACAATATGATTTCTCATATATGGGAAAACAAAAGTATAAAGAGCAAAATAAAAAAGGAAATGGCGAGATTGATCTTTTGCAAATGAGAAGGGGACTAAGACATGGAGAGAAGGAGGAAGGAAAGGAAACATAAAAAGAATTGAAAGGCATCATCATATAGCCACGATGAAAGTAGTCATTATGTATTACAAACATGTACTAATAAAAATTGAAAATTTAGTGTATTAACTGCATGTTCACTTTGTCTTTTTAAGATGGTGTTATCTGAAAAGGTTAGTCAGCTGATGGAATGGACCAATAAAAGACCTGTAATAAGAATGAATGGAGACAAGTTCCGGCGCCTCGTTAAAGCCCCACCAAGAAATTACTCCGTTATTGTCATGTTCACTGCTCTCCAACTTCATAGACAATGTGTTGTTTGCAAGTATGAGCTTTCAATTACACACTAAAATTAACTCATAAGATTTTTAATCACTTCTCAATTCCAGAAGAACCAAATTTGTTCAGTGGATATATAAATAATGAATGTGTATATCTTACTTAGGATGTCTATAGTAACACATACTATTACTTCTCTTTTATGATTAATTCTTGGTTCACCATGTTTTTGTAGAAGTATAAATAAGGGATTGTAGCCATCATAAGAATAATTTAAAAAACAATCATTTTATAAGTTGTTATCAATTATATATCTGTACCAGTAGCATTGATACAGTGTTGCTGTTTATGAATATTTTTAATGTAATATTCTTGTTTTATCACAGCAATCTCAGTAGTTAGAATAAATATTCTTCCATTATTGGAATGCACAGGCTCCCAAAATTTTAAGTGTTCTCCCTGAAACGTTAGATGTTTATTTATGCACTAATGATAGCTTCATCTGGGAATATGAGAGAACAAGGAGCTCTTAAAAAACAAAGATGTATATGATCTCATTTGGAACCTAATAAAGTCAAACTCAAAAGAAGCACAAAGTAGAATGGTGGTTACTAAAAGATTGGAGGTGGAAATGGAAAATGGGGAGACAGGGTCTCATTAATGGAGCCTCAGGAACAAAGATTGCTTTCTTTAAATAGAAGCATCATTGATAATTAAAAATGGTAGATGTTAAAAACTAGAGTAGGTTTTGCTTTTTACTATTTTTATATCTATGAAGAGATAGATATCTCTCTCCGTGTGTGTGTGTGTGTGTGTGTGTGTGTGTGTGTGCGTGTGTGTTTAAGAAAGAAAGTCTTACTGTGTTGCCCAGGCTGGTCTTGAACTCCTGGGATCAAGTGATCCTCCTACCTCAGCCTCCCGAGTAGTTGCCCAGTCTGGGCTGGAACTTGGGATCCTCCTGGGATTATAGGGACATACCACAATGCCTCACTTTCTTTTTATTTTTTATTTTGAGACAGAATCTCACTGAGTTGCCCAAGTGGGACTCAAACTTGCACCCTCCTACTTCAACCTCCCTCAGTGCTGGTATTTTAGGCAACTACAAGTATATGTATTCCAAAACATCACACTATTTTATATGTGTACACACACACACACACATGTACACTATACAATTATTATTTGTCAATAAAAAGAATTACTTTTTAAAATCCAAAGATATAAAATTTAGAAATTTTTTTGTTGTCTATGTTTTTCAATGTTTGTTAATCTTGGAGTTGGAGACTAATCTCACTAAATTTTCATCAAACAGTAGTTTAGCAATTTTATTTTGCTGTTTCTGAATGATCTCAGGAACAAAGATTGCTATTTCTTTAAACAGAAACATCACTGATATTTCAAAATAAAGTATCTTTTGCTTTTTAATATCTATATATATCTACATTTATATATACACGGATACAAATTTTATATATAGACAACAAGAGCAACAAAAGACGCAATTAACTGAAGTTTTTCATGTGACCACTGAAAGAGCTTTGGTATAAGAAACAGGCACAAAGTATGAAATGGAGACATGCAATTACTAATTTCTGATGAAATCTCCAACAGTTGGGATAAGGCTTTTTGTGCCCAAACAAGGTTTGTTCCTAACCTTGTTATCAGAGCCTGACTTACTTGTGAATGATTTTTAACATTTCTCCTATAAAAATTGCTATTGCTATTGCTTCGTTGGACTTTAACTGCTGATACACTACATTGATTTTAGAAACTGTTTTATATGTTATGTTCACAAATCTGATTGCATCCAGGCAAGCTGATGAAGAATTTCAGATTCTGGCAAACTCTTGGCGATATTCCAGTGCATTTACCAACAGGATATTTTTTGCCATGGTGGATTTTGATGAAGGCTCAGATGTATTTCAGATGGTAAGACCTTTGGTTTATTCTCTTATGTAGGGGTAGATTTTATGTGTGTGTGTGTTTGCGTGTGTGTGTGTGTGTGTGTGTGTGTGTCTGCTGTCAAATCGAGCACAGGGATACATAAAATATGAATAAAGATTTTTTCAGTGGCTATAAGAAGTTTAATAGGATTGCTCCTATGTAAGATCTAGAGTAGTTGGTGAACTAAGAGCTAAACTTTAATCGTAAAGACAGTGATCTGGACCAGGGATTTAGCTCAGTGGCATGTGCCTGCCTGGCAAGCGTGTGGTCCTCAGTTTGATCCCCAGTACCAAAAAAAAAGAGTCAAAAGGTAGTAATCAGTGTTAACATGTTAGAATATGAAAATTGAGTAGTAATCGAGTAACTTGGACATATATGTAACTTATACACAGTTTTATTGAGGTGAAATATAAAATAAAATTTACCATTTTAAGTATATAACTTATAGAGTAATTAGTGAAATCACAACACAAATCTTATTATCGTGTCCCCAATAGTGAAGTGTTTAGTACAGCCAGTATTGCTCTTGCCTCTTGTCTTTAACAGAAAAGGTCTTTCTTGTTTAAGGCTCAACCCTTTTCCTGTGTGCTGGATTACATACCCATCTACTTTATTAGTTATGGGGTTTTATGTCTGTGTTTTCATCTTCAGCCTTTACTAGGTCTTACCCCTTGCAAATAATCAAGGACATAGATTTCCTGGGCATGAAAATGCCTATCTGAGTACTCAGGAAGCTGAGGCAGGAGGATCACTGCAAATTTGAGGCAGCCTGGGCTACATAGTGAGACCCTGTCTCAAAAAGCCAAAAATAGGAGCCGGGGATTTAGCTCAGTGGTACCACCGCCTGCCTCACAAGCACAAGGACCATGTTTGATCCCCAGTACCCCCAAAAAAGAGCCAGGTGTGGTGGCACATGCCTGTAATCTCAGCACTCGGGAGGCTGAGTCAGGAGGATTGCTGTGAGTTTGAGGCCAGCCTGTGTTACATAGCAAGACCCAGTCTTAAAAAAAGAAAAATTGAATCAGGGACATAGATTCAATTTTGTCTTTGTTATAAGTTTGTCTAACTCATAGTTGAACTCAGTAATTGTATAAAATATAAAAATGATCTGTGTAATTCCTTGCTATACTTGCTCATATGAAGAACTTCCCAATCCAAAAATTCATTATGTCCAAAATTAATCTCTCTTCTACCTACACTTGGTGTTCTATGTTCCATATTGTTAGAAATATTTCTTTGATATCTTTGTATTTTTTTTTTTTTTTTTTGGTACTGGGGATTGAACTGGGGTCCTTGCGCTTGCAAGGCAGGCCACCGAACTGCTGAACTAAATCCCCGGCCCAATCTTTGTATTTTTGTACAGCATCTGTTTTAGACATTTCCCTTTTAAGTTTTTTTTTTCTTTTTGATGTTTGTTTTTTGCTTTTTGAGACAAGGTGTCACTTTGTAGTGCAGCCTGGTCTTGAACTCACTATCGCTATGTAGCCCAGGCTGGTCTCAAACTCGGGATAATCCTCCTGCCTCATCCTCCAGAGTGCTGGGATTATAGGCATGTGCCAGCACACCAGGATTCCAGAACTTTTTTTTTGTCTTACAAAATTGAAATTCTAGTCTAGAGGATGTATCTCAATTGTAGGGTATATGCTTGGCATTAGTGAGGCCCTGAGTTTAATCTCAGCACCACAAAGAAAACAAAAACCCTAAAACTGCGCATTAAACAACTTTCATTTCTCCCACCCCAGCCCTTGAAACCACCATTGTCCTTCCTGTCTCTGTGAATGTGACTACTCTAAATACTTTATATAAATGGAATCATACAGTATTTGTCTCTCTCTCTCTCTCTCTCTCTCTCTCTCTCTCTCTCTCTCTCTCTATCTCTCTCTCTCTCTCTCTTTGGTTTTTCGAGATGGTCTCACTATGTTGTTCAGACTGACCTGAAATGTAGCCCAGACTGGTCTCGAACTCAGGAATCCTCCTGCCTCAGCCTCCTGAGTGCTGTGATTACAGGCGTGCACCACCATGTCTGGCTTGTATTTGTCTTTTTGTGACTATCATTTCACTTAGCATCGTGTCCTCAAAGTTGAGATTGTAGCATATATCAGAACTTTGGTTTCTTTTTTGTGTGTGTGTGTGTTACTGGGGATTGTACCTGTGGCATTTCCATTGAGCTATATCCCCCATTCTCTAGGCCAGCTTGCCTTCCTTTCTGTCTTCTGTCTTCTCACTTCTCTTCTCTCTTCTCCCTCCTCCCTCCCTTTCCCTCTCTCCCTCTCCCTCTCTCCCTCTCTCTCCCTCTGCCTAGTTTGGCTTTTGCAAATAATGCTGTTGTGAATGTGGGTATATAAATAACTCTTCAGGAACCTGTTGTCAATTCCTTTGTGTATATACCTAGAAGTAGAATGGCTAGATTATATAATAATTCTGTTTTTAACTTCTGAGGAATCTCCATGCTATTTTCTGCAGCAGCTCCATCATTTTACGTTCCCACAAACAGTGCACATGGGTTCCAGTTTCTCCATATCCTCACCAACAATTCTTTTCCTATATACATAAATACTCACACACATACGCATATAAGATCATTCTAATGATGACAGTGGTATCTCATTGTAGTTTTGATTTTTATTTTCATGATGATTAGTGATTTTGAACATCTCATGTTCTTATTGATCACTTGTATATCTTCTTTGTAGAACTGTCTATTCAAGTCCTTTCCCCTTTTTTCTTTTTCTTTTGTGATTTTAGGGATTAATCACAGGGCTTCATACATACTAGGCAAGCTCTCTACTACTGAACTATATCCTTGTTCTTTTTTGGAGATAGGGTCTCTAATATTTGAGGCTGGCCTCCAACTCTCAATCCTTCTGTCTCAGCCTCCTAAGCAGCTGGAATTACAGGTGTGCAGCGTCATGCCTGATTGCTTTGCCCATTCTAAAACCCAGTTATGGGGCTGAGGGGTTAGCTCAGTGGTTCTACCGCCTGCCTTTTTTATTTCCTTCCATCACCTGTCTTGCAAGCACAAAGACCCAAGTTCAATCCCTGGTACCAAAATAAATAAATAAATAACCCAGATATTTTCTGTTGTTGAGTTGTAGAAGTTGTTTATATATTCTGAATATTAACCCCTTATTAGATTTCCAGATAATTTTACTGATTTCATAGGTTGCCTTTTCACTCTTTTGATTTTCTTTTTAATTTTTATTACTATATATTTGCAGTACATAATGGTTACATTCATTGTAAGGAGTTGATATCTGTACATAACACATCTTAATTCTTTTTTTTTTTGGTTTTTTTTTTTTAGATAGGGTCTCACTATGTTGTTGAGAATGACCTGGAACTCACTATGTAGCCCAGACTGGTCTCGAACTCACAGCGATCCTCCTGTCTCAGCCTCCCGAGTACTGGGATTACAGGCGTGCACCACCACATGCAGCCATGCAAGATATTTTTTAAAAAGTGATTTGTTATAAACATCTTTTATTAGCTGGGCATAGTGGCACACACTTGGAATCCCAGCACTCTGGAGACTGAGGCCAGAGGATCACAAGTTCAATCCCTGCATGGGCAAATCAGCAAGAGCCTGTCTCAAAATGTTTGAAGATGTAGTTCAGCAGTAGAGGGCCTCTGGATTCAATCCCCAGTACTGCAAAGAAAAAAAAAGTTTTATTAATAATCAGGGAAGGGCCAGGGATTTGGCTGAGGGGTGCTGCCGCCTAACTTGCAAGCGCAAGGTCCCAAGTTTGATCCCTGATACCAAAAAAATAAGGGAAATAGAAATTATAGTAATGATAATATAAAAGTTTAATCCATCAAACCAATTTTTGGCCAAGGATATGGGGAAATGGATACTTTTCTACCTTGATGAATAGCATTATAAATTAAATATAATCGCTTTGGAGGGCAATTTGATTGTATCTGTTTTAGTTTTAAAGTATTTTTGCCCTGTAATCTAACACTTCCATTTTTAGATTGGCACTTTCACATATGTACAGGAAGATATGTACAAGGATGTTGCTTTTTACTTTTTTGTGTGTGATACTGAGAATGAAATCCAGGACTTACACATACTACTAAGTAAGTGCTCTACTATTGAGCTATGCCTGCAGCTCATATTATTTTTAATTGGAAAGAAAGGGAAAAGCCTAAAAGTCTAGCAAGAGCATAATTACTTTATAACTGTAAGAATGAAGTTAATATATGTGTACTTTCAGTCATTCAAATTCAACATGATTGAATTTTTAAAAGCATATTTAAGAATAACAGTGCTATGTATGTTAAAAGAAAACATAAATATCATGTTTTCTGTTTATACATATTCATGTATATAGATCAAAGTCAAAGATACGGGAATGGTAAGTTGTTGCTGAGGTACACTGGAAATGGTTCTTGTAACCCTGTAATTTAAAAAAATTTTTCTAGAGAAATATTTATGTGTTACTTAGCTTTTGTTTTCTTAGACACAAAGGTGATATAGCTAAACAAATACTGAAAAAAAGTTTGGCTTAAAATGTGAGCAACATTTGATGGAGTAAACACTCTCCATGGTCTGGTTCTTTGCTTTTTAGACACAAATCAAACTTTTAGCAGTGTATTCAGAATTTATCTACTTTTGGATATTTTGTGCACACTAACAAAACCATAAAATCCATAGACATCAGTAATCACAGGGTTTATTGATTTATTCATCATATTATACAGTCAAAGACAGAGTAATAATAATAATATACAGCTATATATAGGGTATGATTAAAAATAAGATGACTGCTTAAAATTTTTAAATTTATTACAGTAAAGGACACACTGCCATTATTTTCCTTCAAAACACTCCCTCATCACTTTGTTATGTTTTGTTTTGCGGTAATGGAGATAGAACTCAGTACCTTGCACTTGTGAGGCAGGCACCACTTTACTGAGCTAAATCCCTGGCCCCTCCCCCATCACTTTGAACACTTATTCTTGTCACTTAAAGTCTTTTGGAAGTATCTTTGTGCTCTCCTGGCTGCCTCAATATCCTGTATCAGTTCAAAACCTTAACTTGCCACGGTCGTTTTAACTTTAGAGAAGAGCCAGAAGTAGTACGGTGCCAGATCTGGTGAAGGTGGATGAGGACCCACTAGTACCACAATGTTTTACACACCTTTCTGGACTAGATGGTGCTTGGCAACAACATTCACTGTATTTTTTATCGCAGCTTGCAAAGACAAAATTCCTCTTGGCTTATGTATGGAAAAATCTACAAATTGCTGTTAGAAGGGTGTTATTGTGAGTATAGAACCAAAGCAAGAGAGTTCGATTATTTTTTAAGGTTTTTTTTGTTTGTTTTGTTGTTTTTGTTTTGTTTTGTTTTTTGAGACGGGGTCTCACTATGTAGTTCAGTGTGGCCTTGAACTCACTAAGTAGCCCAGGCTGACCTCAAACTCATGGCGATCTTCCTGCCTCAGCTTCCCAAGTACTGGTGCACCACCATGCCCAGCAAGGTTTTCTTTTTTTGAGTTATTTTCTTGGCTGATGTTTTAAAGTTATAATTGTTTTGTATAATTCATTCTCCATTATAGGATTACCCTTTGAGAGGACGCAAAGGCTTACATCTTTTGGTCAGAATTTTTCTCTAGGATTTTACATTGTAGTAAGAAAGATATAATGCAGGGCTGGGGGTGCAGCTCAGTGGCACAGTGCCTGCCTGGCAAGTGTGAGGTCCTGAGTTTAATCCCTGGTACCAAAAAAAGAAAGAAAGACACAATGCAAATGAGAGGATTAGTGTTTCTTTGCCTTAGCTATTCCAGTGTTATCTTTTCAAGCATATCATGCTCTCATGATGAGAAAAAAATGTGATGCTCATCAGTAAACATTTATGAAACTCATTAGAATGAACTATTTCTGCTGGGTATGGTAGTGCACACCTGTAATCCCAGATACTTGGCAGGTTGAGGCAGGAGGCTCATAAATTAAAGACCAGCCTGAATAGTTTAGCAAGACCCTGTCTCCATTTAAAAAAAAAAAAAGACTATTTGCCTTTCTACATATGGCTACCATTTTGTATTGGTTTTCACTGGTTTTTTTTTTTCTTCTTCTTCTTCTTTTTCTTTTTTTTGGTACTGGGGATCAAACTCGGCCCTTGTGCTTGCGGGGCAGGCAGCCAAATCCCTGGCTTGTTTTTCATTTTTGTTTTTGAAACAGGTTCTTCCTATGTAGTTCAGGCTGGGAACTCACTTGTAGCCCAGGCTGGCCTCAGCCTCTTGAATGGTGGGTTTACAAGCATGCGCCACCATGCCTGGCTGCAGTTTTCGATCATTATCCTGATCTTTTGTTCTCCACATTTAACAGTGTATGTACAAGGGATTTAAATTTTTTAAAATGTATTATCATAAGACATTGCCAAGAACAATGGAATAAGTGTGTTCAAAGTGAGGGGAACTATTCTTAGTATTTTCATGGGAATTAATGGCTATGTGTCTTTTAGTATAATAAATTTATTTTTTTGGTGAACAGAGGTTCTTGCTAAGTATTTCAGACTGATTTCAAAATCGTGGTGATTCTCCTCCCTCAGCCTCCAGATTGCAGGGTTTACAGGTGTGCACCACCACACCCAGCTTGTAACAAATATTTTTAAACATTCAAGCCATATCTTCCGTTCACACCTTGTGCCTTAGCTGGGCACAGTAAGTAAAACGCACACATAATACCAGCCTCTGGGGAGACTAAACAAAGGGTATGGATATAGTTTGGTGGTAGAGTGCCCTTGGGTTCATTTGCCAGTACCCCCCATACACATACACAAAGTACTATATTTGGGGATTGCATCAGCTACATAAGACAGTTTAAGTGCTCATGTATATGTGTTATTTTCATAATCTCTGAACAGATTAAAATATCGATGGGATGGGAAATTCCCATGCTAGTGGAGTACAATATAGGTTTCTTAGCTAGACATTTATATTTGGTCAGTAAAGGGTAATAGTTAAGGGCACAGTCAGACTTATGTTTGAACCCTGACCACCATTTGAGCAAATCAGTTAACCTATCTAAATCTTAGCTTCCTCATCTTTGTAAAATGCCTCACCTTTGTAAAATGTCTTCCTCATCTTTGTAAAATTATTTACCATTAACTTTTTTTTTATAATTTATACTTCCATGGGCTACTCTTCATTCAGCTAAACATGAATTCTGCTCCAACTTTCATCAACTTTCCTGCAAAAGGGAAGCCCAAACGAGGTGATACATATGAGTTGCAGGTGCGGGGTTTTTCAGCTGAGCAGATTGCCCGGTGGATTGCAGACAGAACTGATGTCAATGTAAGTTTCTCAGATTTGAAGAAAGTTTGTTTGTTGTTGTTCCCTTTGAATTTTATTGGGCAGTGATAATTAATCTTGGCCCTATATCACTGAAGTAGTAATAGTTTGGTGATTTTTTCATAAGTAGTATTTAACAGAATCATCTGGATAAAACAGTGAAATTACGAAACACCATTTGTTACCCTCTTAAATTCAGACTGGAAACCATTCTTTTATTCTTTTGACCTTCTTAAGTCTGTGGGCTATCTATCTAGTTGTACCTGGCAATCTTTCATAGTCTAAAAGATGTTACATTGTGATTAAACAATATTACATCAATTCCACCATATTTTAGAATACAGTATAGATTGCTTTAATTGGAATGAAATGAAAAGAGTATAATTTTTCCTATGAATAAGCACATTTTCATTATTATGTACTTAGTGAATAAATTTTATGCTTTAAGATCTTTTTCTTTCCTTTCCATTAGATTAGAGTAATTAGACCTCCAAATTATGCTGGTCCCCTTATGTTGGGATTGCTTTTGGCTGTTATTGGTGGACTTGTATATCTTCGAAGAAGCAATATGGAATTTCTCTTTAATAAAACAGGATGGGCTTTTGCAGCTTTGGTGAGTCAATTTTATTTTATTTGGTTAGTTTTTTGAGACAGGGTCTCACTATGTACTTCAGGCTGGCCTGGAACTCACTTTGTAGCTGACGCTGGCCTCGAACTCACAGTGATCCTCCTGCCTTAGCCTCCTGAGTGCTGGGATTACAGGCATACATGACCACACCTTTCTCAAAATCAAAAATTTAAAAAGGGCTAAGGATGCTACAATATAAAGGCTCTGGGTTCAACCTCCAGTACCATAAACAATTAAAAGTGAGGAAAACAGTATTTAGTATTCAGTTTTGAAACTTGTCAGTTTAGTTGACATTTTAAAATAGTATTTCCTTTTTTGAATTATTATTAAAGTGTGATTGTTGCGGTGAAATATAAGCCTAAGTAAATAAATCATTTAGCTAGAAAAAATTCACTAATTACCTGAACAGATATAATATTTTATATACCTACTAGTATAATCAAAGTAGGACTAGACTGGCCATGAGTATTTCATTATTTTTTATTTCCCAGTGTTTTGTGCTTGCCATGACATCGGGTCAAATGTGGAACCATATTAGAGGACCACCATATGCTCATAAGAATCCTCACACAGGACATGTGGTAAGAAAAGTCTGGGAGTTGTTTTCATTTTATGCCAAAATTAATTTAATGATTATTATTAAGTGAGACCTGTGCCATAGGAGCTAGATGTAGTTTTGATTTTTCATTTTCTCTGTGTTAACAAGCTTCAGGTACTGAAAAGACCATGCAATGCTCCTAAAAGGAGAAAGTTCCTTATCCCATTTGGTGAGTCATTTTAGTTAAGAATGAAAGTCAGCCTTCAGCTAAATAGAAAAATTAGTCAAATACTTGAGCATTTACTGTTTGTAGGTAACTGCTGGGTTTTATCAGATATTTTGATAGATAAAAGCATAGTTCTTGAGCTGGGCGTGGTGGCTCATGCCTGTAATCCCAGCACTCGCGAGGCTGAGGCAGAAGGATCGCTGTGAGTTCAAGACCAGCCTGGGCTACATAGTGAGTTCCAGGTCTGTCTCAACTACACAGGGAGACCCTGTCTCAAAAAAACAGAACAAAAAAATGGCATAGTTCTTGTTTCATGGAGTCTATATTATCTTATGGTCTTGTACAAATAAATACTAGTTTTTTCATCTGTTGTTGTTGTTGAGAACATAATGTAAGTACAATGAAAAAACAATAAATACAGAAACAGCTTTTATAGTAATCAAAAGTATTTACTGATAAATGCCAAGGATTCAAAATATATGCTTACACACATCAGGTGAGTTAATAATTTCATAGGGTTTTAAATAGCCCACTTTAGGGTTAGGATACTAGAATTTAATTTATATTTAATAAATCAATTTTTTCTTCCCCTGCAGAATTATATCCATGGAAGCAGTCAAGCCCAGTTTGTAGCTGAAACACACATTGTTCTTCTGTTCAGTATCCTTTTTACAATAATTCTTGATTGCTGCATTTTAATTTGCCTATTTCATCACAATCTAGTATTCTTTGTACAGCCTTTGGTTGGGATTGCTCTCCTAATGTAGGTCATAATATCCTTCAGAAATCATATTACTGTTTCATCCATCTTAGCCCAGTTAGCTAGAGACCCCAAGAACAAACATGCAGCATGATAAAGCAGGGTTTCTTGACCTGTTCATACAAGAGACTCTGCTTATTAGAGGAAGCTTGGGATGTCTTTTTACCAAAACAGAGTTTTTACAAGGATTTGAGGTAAAGGTGTAGTTTAAGTAACGTTTAAATGAAGCGCTGTTTTCATAAGCAAAGCAAGGGGGTGCAGTATAGTTCAGTAGTAGAGTTCTTGCCTAGCATGTGTACTGCCCTGAATTGTGCCCCAGCACTGCAAAAGAAAGGGAGGGGGGAAGGCTAAGCATAAAGGGTTCAATATTAGGTCTAGACATTGAGGTTTTGTTTTTTATTTTCCAATACCAGGGGTCAAACTCAGGACCTTGCACCTGAGAGGCAGGCACAGTGCCCCTGAGGTACATCCCTAACCCCACTGAGGTTTTAAAATAGACCCAAGATTCTATTTCTTTGGAAACTACAAACTTAAATAAATGTGAGGGGTTTTTTTTGTTTTGTTTTGTTTTTTTGTCTTCAAACTCCTTGTGCTGCATCTTGGATATAAATCAAGATTACTGAGAATTTAAAAATAAGACTACTGAGAAGTTATACTTAAAATTTTTCTCTTTTTTTGGTACTGGGGATTGAACTCAAGACCTTGCGCTTGCAAGGCAGGTGGCAGAACCACTGAGCTAATTCCCCGCCTCCCTCGCCCTTTTTTATTTCCATAATGGTTTTGCTAGTTTATATTCTCACCAATAAGGTACAAGGGTTTCTTTTTCCTCACAACCTAGCCAGCATGTGTTATAGATTTCTTGATTATAGCTATTCTTTCTGGAGTAAGGTGGAATCACGCTGTTGTTTCAATTTACATTTCTCTAATGGCCACTGACAGTAAACATTTTTTTCATGTATTTATTGTCCATTTGTACTTCTAAGAAGTATCTGTTCATTTCAGTTGCCCATTTTTCAGTTGGGCTTTTTATTTTAAAGGATTAATTTTTCTTAGTTCTTTATATATTTTACATATTATTCATCTATCTGAAGAATAGTTGGCAAAATTTTTTTCCTGTTCTCTAATTTGTCTTTTTTCTGTTGTTTCCTTTACTGTACAGAAGAAGCTTTTTCATTTGATATGATAGCATTTCTTGATTTTTGGTGTTATCTCCTGTGCAATTGAGGTTCTGTTCAGAAAGTACTTGCCTAAGCCTATGTCAATAATTTTAACTATTTTATCTTCTAGCAGATTAAGTGTTTTTGTTTCCTTATTTAGAGTTTTGATCTATTTTGATTTTAGTTTACTATTTGGTAAGAGATAGTGGTCTAGATTCAGTCTTATGCATATGGACAGCAAGTTTTCCCAGCGCCATTTGTTAAAGATGTTATCTTTCCTCCAGAGTAGGTTTTTGGCCCCTTGTCAAAGACCAAGTAGCTGAATGTGTTGGAGTTTTTTCTGCATCTTCTATTCTGTTCCATTGATACACATTTGTTTTTTTGCCAATACCATATTATTTTTATCACTATAGCTTTGTAATGTAACTTGAAGTCCAGAATGTGGTTTCTCCTGCCTTACTCTTGCCCCGGATTGCTTTTACTATTCTAGGGCTGGTTCCATATCAATTTTAAAATTTGTTTTCTCTAGTCCTGAGAGGAATGTTATTAGTATTTTGTTTGGGATTCTGTTAAATCTGTGTATCAGTTTTGGAAGTATGGCCATTTTGAATCTATTTATTCTTCCTAATAAGGAATAGTGAGTATCTTTTCATTTTGATATCTTTTTTGATCTCTTTTTTCAGAGTGCTATTATTTTCATTGTAGAGGTCTTTTACTTAATTGGCACAGTTATTTCTTAGAAATTTAATTTTTCTTGATGCTATTATGAAAGATATTGTTTCCCTAATTTTTTGTGAGTTTATTATTAGTGTATAAGAACACGTAATTTTTGGGCTACCAAATTTGGTGGAATTTTTTTGTTCTTCTATGTAGAGGATCATGTCATCCTCAAATAATGATAATTTCACTTCTTTCTTTCCTATACATATCTTTCTCTTTTTTTTGAGATAGGGACTCATTATGTAGTTCAGGTTGGCCTCAAATTCACAGTGATCTTCCTGCCTCAGCCTCCCAAGTGGTGTGATTACAGGCATGCACCACCACGCCCATCACATATCTCCTTTCTTTCTCTCTTTTGCTTGATTACTCTGGCTAATATTTCAAGAACTATATTGAACAGTAGTGGTGATAGAAGACATTCTTTAATTTTAGAGGAAAAGCACTTAGCTTCTTCCTATTTAATATGATGTTGGCCATTCATTTGTCACCTGATTAAGATAAGATCTTTCTATTCCTATATTGGTTTGTTTGTTTGAGACAGGCTTTCCCATATGTAGATCAGGCTAGCCTTGCACTCACTATTTAGCCCAGGCTGGCCTTGAGCTCTTGGTGATCCTCCTGCCTCAGCCTCCCAAGAGTTCTGAGATTACAGGTGTGTACTTCCATGCCCCTTGGTTTTAACTTTTTTATTAATACATGTTTGCAGTACATAAGGAACACATTTATCATGAGTAATTTGTATATATACATAACACATCCTAATTCTTTTTTGTTCTCTTCACCGCCCCTTCTTCAACTTCTCATTTGCAAAAGCGCTATTTTAATTTTTATCTAAATCCCTTTTCCCTTCCCTCCCTCCTCCCCCAGCTCTTCTTCCCCTTCCATTTGAAAATGTTCTCTCTACTTCCTAATACAGTGGTGCCTCAGTTCATGAATTTAATTCTTTCAGAGATTCTGGTCACCAACCAAATCGAACAAGAATTGAATCAAATTCAATAGTTGGGTCAGTGTTGACCTTAGGGGGAAATTTTATTTGGTTCTCATATCTATCATTGAGATGTATTTATCATCTGTTTTGTTCCTTATTTGTATTTTGGGTTTCTCACACAAAGTAATATATTTAATCTTGCGCGTCTGTTTTATTTTACTTAAGATTATGGTCTCAAGGTACATCCATTTATCTAAAATGCCTCAAGTTTATCCTTCTTTATGGCAAAGTAGTACTCCGCATTTTTAAAAATCATTGTTTATTGGTACATTTTAAGTATACAATATGCTGACATTCATCATTGGGAATTTGTACCTGTACATGATTTATCTTGGTTCTTATTTTTTCCCAATTCCCCTGACCTCCCTTCAACCCCTCCACACTTCCCCATTTACTGATTTTGTTTCCATTTATCCATTCATCTATTGGTGGCCATATGGGCTGTTTCCAAGATTTAGCTATTATAAATTGTGCTGCTATAAACATGGGTGTGCATGTGTCGCTGTAACATGATGATTTTCTTTCCAGCTAGCTTTTTATTAGTGTCTTCTATATGGTTCTTAATATTTTATTACCTCCATTATCTGGTTACATTTTCTGAGCCTGATGAGTACCTCACTGATGTGTTTTTTAAACTCTTTCGAATAATTCAGCTGTGTAGCTTTTTCTTTCCTCCTGTCAATCCCCTATGGATTGGCTTTAGGGGAGTTGGAAGTTTTGGCAGGTGCTTTGTTGTCTTGTCTTCTCATGTTTCTGTTTTTGTTTGTTTTGTGCTTAGGTATGGAGATTTCTTCAGTTAGTCTTCTTTTCCACTGATGCACCGCAGGTGTGGCTAACTGTAGTCCTTTATTTCCATCCCAAGAACTGATCACCTGTGTTAATTTGAGACTGAGCGATGCCATATAATTGTCCCAGCACCCAATTCGCTGGGAATTGACTGCACTACTATTAATGTCACAATGGTAATACTGCACTATTGTTAATGTCACAAAGGTAATCTAGGTATTGGCAGAGAGAAAACCTGTTTATAGCAATAATTTTGTGACCTTGGCAATATCAAGAGAATTAGCAACAATAATATCCTCCAAGACCAACTGGATATTGATATATCATAAAAACCAATAATGTACCACTCTTAACCTTAGAAAAGAAATCTATAATTATAGTATAAACCTCAAGACAAACCGAATACTGTCATATAGTAAATATCTACTAAAGGCATTAACTATACTACTAATAACAGAAAAGACTTCAATAGTAGTAACCTAGAGGTAACTATCTAAAGAATAATAAGCCAGGCATGGTGGCGCACGCCTGTAATCCCAAAACTCGGGAGGCTGAGGCAGGAGGATCGCTGTGAGTTCAAGACCAGCTGGGGCTACATAGTGAGCTCCAGGTCAGTATCAACTACATAGTGAGACCCTGTCTCAAAAAAACCAAAAAAAAAAAAAGAATAATAGAGCTTAATCATATTATTACAGGTATAGAGGATTGGAAATGGAAGAAATAAACATTTTTGAAAAATTATATAATGGGAGATTAGGAGGAGGAGAGAAAAGTAAGACAAAAGGTCCTATTACCAAGTGGAAGTATATTCATAGAATTTGATAAAGCTGACAGAAAAGAAACAAGAAATAGAAGATAGAGCTGGACATGGTGGTGAATGCCTGAAATCCTAGCCCTCAGGAGGCTGAAGGCAGGAGGATCACTTTGTTTTGAGTCCAACCTGGGCGTTATAGTGAGTTCAGGCCAGCCTGAACTGCATAGTAAGACTCTGTCTCAAAAAAAAAAAAAAGAAAAAGTCTGGGAATTTAGCTCAGTGGCTCTGCACCTGCCTTACCAGCACAGAGTCCTGAGTTTGATCCCTGATATGGGGAGGGTGGGGGTAGAAATAGAAGATAAAAGAAAAAAGGGATAAAAAATAATATGGAGAAAAACTAGCAAAAATTAAAAGGAAAAAGAAAGAGTAAGAAAAAGAAGAAAGAAATGAGTCCTAAAACAGAAAAAATGTTTTTGTCTGTATACATGTATTTGA